TCGTTATTCCTTTTATACGTCTAATTTGCTTACGAGTAACTATTTTGTTGAGAGAAAAGTCAATATTCGTGATTAATGAAACACAATTTTTGGGTTTGAAGCGAAGAAATTTCGCGATATTTTCGTCTGTGATTTCAATTTGTCCTATATTTGGGTAAAAGGATTTGCTGGAATGGTCCACGGCTTTCTTCGAACACACGTTCGGCGGAATGAAAGTAAGTCAGCCAATGACATCCACGCGAAAAGCTCCTCTGAACAGTCGATATTCAATACAAAAATTGTTGATTGTGACCGATCATTCATTGGCACATGGTATTGACTTTTACCATGGTGAACATGCTTTGCTGATTGTGCATGTGCACTGCACCCATTATTCTTTCGAATCAATTTCAATGAATGGAAAATATTTCTATGTGTGAAGTCTGGATAAATATAATAAAAATTGTGAAACAATACTGAGCTAAAACAATTATTTTGAAACTTGAACTGTGAATTTACTACTGTTTTTATATCGAAGTAAAATTCCTTTACTGAAATAGTATTTTGACAAATACGTAGATTTATGCAGCGATTGTATGTGATACTGATTATAAACACAAGATAACAAGGCACAGCTAACTCAAGTCACATGGCCTCAAATGAATTTAGAACAAATTGACAACTGGTTCGATATATGCTTCGCTGCGAGTGGATATTCAAAGGTCAAAAATGAAACAATTGGTTTTATATTTAGTACATTTTTATTTGTGTCAAATTATGATATTTCCAGTGTTCCATACAAATTCCGTTGCAGATTGATAAATTATTTGGTTTATTGGACTTTAGTTGAAAAGTGAAGAAAGAAAATTTTGTCTAAAAGGCGAATCATGGTTGGTTATATAATATGCCTGAAGTGGTTTCAGTTCAATCAAACTGAAATCGGTTTGCATCAAAGCATGTTTTGTGGCCAAGAAAATGTTATGCCGCACCAAAATATCAGTTTTGCATGCGCCTGACAATTTTTGGCGTTCCTTGTTAATTGCCCTCAGATCGATGATTTTTTCTTGAAATAAGTTCCTTCCTTAAGGATTTCGATTCTAATGTTTTCTAATTGAGCATTGAATCGAAAAAATGTTTCTTACCTAGTGAAAATCAAATGCTTTTGAATAATTTTTTTTAATTTTTGTATAAAACAGAAATATATAATACTTGAGCTCAAATGCATTCAGAACCAATTGGTATGTCAATTTCACCTGCAGGTGAGTTGAGGTTTGCTGAATGAAATTCGGAGGGAGATGAATTCAAATAGAAATAAGCGTGCTTTTTCTGCACGGTATACATGTATGTGTCAATTGTTTGTTATGATCTATGCCATTTCCAGTACTTCATAGAAAAGTCTACTACAATTTTTTTTCCATTGGAAATGTTTGAACCTGCATTGTATAACATTGTATTGACATAAATGGAAGGTTTATTGTGGGGAAAAAAATATGATTTGCGAATACAAATACAGCTTTGACTCGAATTATTTTGCTTTGCAACCAGAGAGAAAAAATCATTCCTCTCGCCATCCATTGAAGTTCGATCCGGGCTGCGGGCCTACAGGCGCATTTTCATGAAAACGTATACAATTCCATATGTCTAAACAACTGATTAATTCCCCGTGCTACGACGACAAGTCGAACATATCTAAAAAAAATCTAATCCACCAAAAGAATTAAACTAACGGCGAAAACGTGTTATTATTCTGAACTGAAAAATTGTCGTTGTTTCAGTAGTCTTCAGTTCTCTCTTTGAACATTTTCTTTGTTGATGTCATCGTAATTCGGATTTCCCATTTTTAGATCCGTACTCACATTCACCGGCCCAACGTGCATATGTTTTTTTAATTTCGGTTGTTGCACGATTTACGATTGTTGTTCCGTTGACAAAATCGGCTCGAAATCGTTGCCTCCAATAAATGTAATGTCTGATATAAATGCCCGAAATTCTATAAATATGTCGCACACACGTTACACCAATCTAAAAGTACTCTGTGTAGTGGATCCGCGTATCGAGGATAATAAATGGAGATTTTTCTTTCGATGTAGCGCGCATGTAAGAGAAAAACTTCCTCGCTTGAGCTCGCACGCTTGCTATTTGATCTATGTGTAATGAACGAAAGAATAAACAAACAAATATGTGTTCTCTGGTTCGTTTGAAACACTAAACGACTTTGACAAAAACACCAAGCAATTTATTATTTAAGGTTTTTATTATGACATCATCTTCATCTCTCACATTTATTTTGGGATAAGTGATTCTCTCTTTTTTTTTGCTCTAGCACCGAATGCCAACAACTGAAGAAAAAAATCACACATTTTGGATATACTACACGAAAAATTATACTTATCATAAAACCGATTGCCGGTTCATCTCTTCCGTTTCGGTTTGAGAGAGTGTTCAAAAGGAAAATACACTTGTTTTTTTCTAAAGAAATATTCTGACTGTGGTGATGATCTGGAAGATGAACTATTCCCATTTCATTTAATAATGACTTTTGAGTAGAAAACATTTCGACTCGAAGTGCAATTGTCCCTTGGATCATTTTATTGCGAGATAAAGCGAAACTGATGTATTATAGATATTTAGTCGATCTATGTTATTAGCTGTCATTTCAAGTGATGTATTCTGGTTGATTGTTAAGCAAATTTTTCCATCTTCAGATTCCTGGTGTTACAAATGTTTGCACGTTCTTATAACCTTTCAGAACTTTTGTTACTGGGAAAAGTGCTGGTTTCACACGGAAAATTTTGTCCATATAATATATCTGAGGATGACTTCCTTCCGAACACTATTTTTTTTTGTTAGGGATTGAGAATGTGTTGAATTATTCACAAACTCGTGCTTGGTTTGTTGAAAGTTACCAAATTCATAGCAATCGATCGACGCATCTGTATCACTTTCACTGGTATTCGTTTCGCTCAATTTAAACTCAATTGACTCCTCTGGAATTGTTGTGAACTTTATCTGGACGGTATTGTTGTTGATCTTCTTGGCAAGTTGGTCAAATGAAAAATGATCGACATATTCATCCTCGGAAGTCATATAAAAACGACATTGTGAAGCAACATCTGGAAGACGACGAAAATGAGATATCCATAAAAAGAATATGTTGAGAATGAAATTTGGTTTGAAAAAACCAAAAAAGTGTGAAACACTCACCATCAAGTGCCCTCGTTTTAGACCATCGATTAAAAACAAAATGCCCACTGTAGCAAAGAAGGAAACGAACACTAACTGACCTATCATTTTTCCAATCAATTTTAATGAGGTAAACAAAGGTGAGATTTGGAAATGACAAATATTTGAAGTACATTTGCATCTGAAGCATAACAAATAGAATGAGTAACATCCTGAAACATAACAAATAGAATGAGTAAAAACGATTATGCGATGAACTCGTTCAAGGACATTCAATGATATACTCCTGGGTATCATTGAACACACACATCGTGTTTGTTTGGCCATGCTTTGAACACGTGTTGCCTGTATTTCGTTTTGTTTCAGGATGTTAGTACTTAGCTTATGAAAAATGAACAAAACAAAAATATTTCATTGAGAGTATATTTGGAATGCATTTCTCATGTAAAATCTTGCAAGCATTTTCAATTAAAACAGGTGATATTCTCTAATTATTTATTTATTATTAGATTCTAATGTTTTATTTTTGTCCGTTTTCTCGTTTAAATCACAATTGTAGAAGATCCCTTGAAACTTTCTACTGCGCGTTGAATCGAAACTGATATATTTAAATCGCTCTATGTTATCAGCTGTTGTTTTGAATAAGGTTTTTGTGTTGATTGTTAAGCACATTTTTCCATCTGCAAATGATGATGAAACGATAAGAATTTCAATTTGATAAACAATGTGCAAAAATGTATGGTAGTATGGCAATTACCTGCATCAATTTCAATGATAACTTCATTTGGTTGACCGATTCGAATAGTGCCTGGTGTAACGAATGTTCTCATGTTCTTCTGGCCTTTAAGAACGGTTGTGATTTTTCCGTGAACCAAATTTGTAAGGAACAGCACTGGTTCAATGCGAAAAACTCTGTTCAAATAATCTGAGTACGCTCTTCTTCCGATCACTGTTTTTATTGAGAATTACAAAACTATTGAATTATTCAAAAACTATTGGAGGACTGGTTCAATTGTACCAAATTCATAATAATCTCCCGAAAGGTTCGTATTAGTTTCACACAACTTAAACTGTATGGTTTCCTCTGGGATTGCGGTGAATTTTATTTGCACGGTGTTGTTATCTACCTTCTCGGCAAGTTCATCAATGCCAAAGTGATTCATATATTCATCATCGGAAGTCATATAATATCGACAATGCAGAAGTCCTGAAAAATTATTCATTACATTTTTGTCAATAAATGAATAACGCTGGTATCACTCACCATCAAATGACTGCATTCTTGTCCACTGATTTATGAACAATATGCCTCCTAAGCTGAGGAAGGAAAAGAAGATTAAATAAAATAGCATGGTTTCAATCAATTTTAGTGCAAAACACGTTGTAAGTGAAGGTTCTTGTGATTTCGAACTGACGGAAATATGCAGATTTCATGACATCCGATGCGGTGGACATTAGCATAACTATTTGTAAAAACGATGCGTTTAAGGACATTCAACGCTCTACTACAGACTATTTTTGAACGCATGCATTCCATTGGTTTAACTTTGTTTTAATTTTAGTTTTTGTTGGCTGCACTTCATTTGTTTCAGGATATGACCTTAGTACTCAGCTGTCAAACACCACTTGCACATTGAGCTATCAGTATCACCAAATTCCTTTGGAATGAATCAATCACAAGGCCATGTAGTTTATTATTCAAAGTTTTTATTAAGACATCATCTTCAACTCTTACTTCAAAAGTGAATGAAGAATCCATTTTATTGAAAAGTCATGAATCTTTCAAATGATCCGCAAGAATAATTAACGCATTCTTTTGTCAATAATCAAGTTGATTTCAAAAATACATAGCAACGAAAGAATAATTTTCAATTCAAATCACAATTATAGAAGAACTCTTGCAGAGCATCATCTTTGGATGACCTCACACTGATATATTTAAGCTTTTCTATGTCGGCTCTCATAGTGAGTGTAATATCTTCGTTGATGGTTGCGCGAATTCTTCCATCTAGAATTGAAGAAGAATCTTCTAGTTGTGATTGAGCATTGAACGCTTTTTATATAAAATTCACCTGAATCAATTTCAATGAGAACTTCATTTGGTTCATCTGTTTTTACAGCGCCTGGTGCGTGCAATGATCGAATCAAAATATCCGAATTTTCCCAAATACGATGCGACTCAGATCCAAATGCTACGTTCAGTTGGAAATACAATATTATGTAATTATTGAAAAATTGAAGAATGGTTATAATATATATGTTTATTTTCTGAATTTACCAAATTCATAATGGTGATCTGTATCATGTTCGCTTTTCAAATCGTTGCTATCGTTTTCGCTCAATTTTAACAGAATTCCATCTTTTGTTAATGCGAAAAATCGGATTTGGAAAGTGTTATTATTGTTTGCTGATTTAGCAACTTCGTTAATTGAAATATAATCGGTATATCTACACTCGGATGTCGCATAATATTGACAATTAGCCAGTGCTAGAATGATAAAATACTCTTTTACATTACTTTTCATTCACTTAATTAATGAAACTGTCATCACTCACCACAGTATTTCTGCATTCGCTTCTTCCAATGTTGTTCACATTTGGCACTCCAATTAAATACAAACAAAATTAGTAATAATATTGTCACTTTCATTGTGCGAGGAAAAAAAAATTGATAGATCCAATGCAAATGAAGCAGCTTCAAATTTTGAACTGACAAAAATATGTTGGTTTCGTTTAAATAGAGGCATTGACTCTCTCGATGTTATTGAGTTGAATTGAGTTGAATAAATTGTGTTATCAATTTTGAAACTGGAATAGATTGCAAAGTCAAAAGATCATCATTTGTGATTGTAAAACTCTCTTAGTTGACTCAATTTTTCGTTTGAATAAAAAAAATGCTACTTCATCTACATCAAATATATAAATTGAATATTCGTCTTGTGTGTCTGTCTGTCGCGAATGTTCGAACTTTTAGCTTTTTATTTATAGCTTTGTTGTTATGCATCTCGATGGATTTCTCTCGGCCTGGAGAATGTTTTTAAAAATGCAGTTTGTTTTTATTTTCGTAATTCATTAAAAGTTTGACGAATTTTTTATAGCACGAAAAATCAGATGAAGATATCATAGAACCGTTTGCCGGCACTTTTCTTCCATTATGCTTCGAGTGAAAATTCAATAAATGAAAATACACTTGTGAAACAATTTTATATCAAGAAATCATAAATTCATTGAAAAGTTATGAAACCATCAAATGTTCACCAAGAATAATTAGCACATTCATTACCCGTGTGAAAAAATAGTAACTGAGCAGTCAGTTAACTAATTTGGGACAAAAATGACTTACTTCGATTGACATTTCAGTACAAAGTGTAGTGTAAGTCTATCATAGTTAACTGAAATCATTTGAAGTTACAAGTCAATCTAAGTTGCTTCATTTGGGACCAAGTGATTTTCTTAGAACAAAAATATAAATTCAATCAACTAAAGTCAACTGAAGTTATAGTCAGTCAGTCATTTCTTTTTCACACACGGGTAGCCAATAACCAAATTCAAATTGTATATAATATAATTGGTTAGATGGAAAGGATAAAATTGTGACAAAAGAATAATTTTTAATTCGAATTGCAATAATAGAAGAACTCTTGCAAAACGCCATTTCTGGATGACATAAAACTGATATATTTAAGGATATCTACGTCATACGCTCTTGTAGTAAGCGTAGCTACTTCGTTGATGGTTGTGTGAATTCGTCTAACTGGAACTAAAAAATAATCATTTAGTTATGTTTGAGCATTTAATGTTTATTTTATATGCGATTCACCTGCATTGACTTCAATAAAAATTTCATTTGGTTCATCTGTTCGTAAAATGTCTGGTGCGTTCAATGTCTTCAAAATCCCATTATTTTCTCTAATATAGTGCGACTGGGATGCAATCACTACAGTTGAAAATAGAACGATATTTACATTTGCATAAGTATTCGAATTGAAAAGTGATTACAATGTGGGTTTTCTTCAGTATTTACCAATAATGACCCTTGTAATTTACTTCATGTGAATCATTAAAAGTATCAGGTAAATAAGTTGGTATGTTTTTAACATTCGAAGGCCAAATACAGCTTTCGTTGTTGCTCAATTTAAACCGAATCCCATCTTTCGATAATAATGTGAAAAATCGGATTTGCAGAGTGCCATTATTGTCATAAGCAACTTCGTCAATTGGAAAGTAATCAGTATAATTATTCTCGGATGTCGCATAATATTGACAATTGGCCAGTGCTAGAGAGATAAAATATTTTTTTAAATTATTTTTCTATTTAGTAAGTGAATAAAAGTGTCACCACTCACCACCATATCTTCGCATTCGTTTCTTCCAATGTGAACAGGATGATTCTACAGTCCATTGAAACCCAAACAAAAGCAGTAATATCATTCTCAATTTCATTGTGTGAATCAGTTTCAATGATAGATTCGATGTAAATGAAGCTGCTTCAGAATTTAAACTAAACAAAAATATGTCAATTTCATTTAAGTTGAGGCATGAACCAGGTTTTCAGTATTTGATATTGAATTTCTATTCATAAATTGTGTAATCAATTTTAATTTTGGAAGTGATTACAAAGTCAAAAGGATCACTGCAGTATATTTGAGTCCTACAACAATCAATTGTGATTGTGAAACTCTCTTATTTGACTCATAATAAGTAATCAAAAATACTTTTTCATTCGAAATAATGCGTCATATGGCATTGCTTTAATTCTTAGCACAGTATGCATTGATCAGATCATTTTTTCGATGTGACTTTGTGAGGACGACACAATTTCAAGAAAAGGATGAACATAAAAATGCCATTTTTCTGCGTATTTCTTCAAACCGTTCAACATTGGCTATTGCCAAAAATCAATAAATTTTAAAATGATAAACGAAAAAGAAACGCGAAGATCAACCGCAAGAAATTCTTGGCAATGTATTGTTGATTGCACACAAGCGAAAATTGCAACAAAAGACAATGGAAAGCAGAGAATAAGCCAATACTAACAAATTGGAAGCTTCAAAATGGTTACAGAAATTCTATCAAATGCCATAAAACGGAGAACGTCAAAAACTCGAGAGAGAAAAGAAACATTCAATTCTAATGAAATAGGCGGTTGTTTTGCGCTAAAGGATAAAAATGAGTGGATCGACTCTCATTTGCTTTTCGTTTCACATGTGGAAGCTGAAATAAAAAAAAACCGACATTTTCAGCGGTGCAATACATCGTTGTGCGCAGACAGCAATCAAGTCCCGTTATTTTGACTTGCGGCAAATTCAATCCGGCATGTGTAAGATTTCGAATCGGTCGTTGAGAATGAAATAATCGATCTCGCTCGAAAAGTAAGTTAAGATACAAGAAACTATAACTAATTTTTGGTATTAATACCCTGGCCAATTATTCATCGTCGCATCATCTAAGGCTATTTAGAAGTCCTATAAATTGAACATTTCACTCGTAAATGCTGAACAATGAAGATGGAAAAAAAGTGGGAATAAGAGCAGCAAATGCACGAAACCTATAATTTTGTTGCATGGTTATCGTTTTTGCATGTGCATCCGTCCGTGTAGCGCGCATCCTTCGTTTGACTTTCGAAAAATGCAAATAAATTTGGCGTGTGTGTGCGCGCTGTGCTATGCTGCAGTAAACTATTTGATATGCGCATCGTTTGGAACGGGACTTGGTCATTATTATATTTTTTGTTCTAATCTCATTCTATCTCTCTCTCTCTCTCTCTCTCTCTCTCTCTCTCTCTACTCAAGGGACTTGACCTTGAATTTTCTCCGATAGTTTCATAAAAGCCTAATGCGTCATACCTTTATTTTACACAAAGAAAACGGCATAATCGAAATAAATAATCCGGAGAGTTGAGCTGCGCCAATTATTTTGTGTGCTTCATATTTGTGTGCCATATATATGGGCTATGCATCCATGGCTGTCGAAAACAAAAGCCGAAGTGTGTGTTGCGTGCAATTTTTTGTTGTTCGTTCACTCTTCAATGGAAAATAACATGCAATCCGTGTTCATTGTTCACTTTGAAAGCTGTCTTCATTTCGTCTAACGGTACATTTGACAGATTTAAAGTGAAGCGTTGAATTTGTAGGAGGATACGTGATCGAAATCATTAAAATTTACTGGGAATTCTTCCAATCAGTACAGGTCCAGCTATTATTTTTTTCTTCAGTTAAACGACGGTATATTATCGATACAACGATGAGACGTCGAGGTGGAAAAAATTACCTATGATCCAAAATGTGTTGTAGCCCAAATATTTAATTAATGCCAAATTGTATCATCTGTTTCATTTTCGATTTTGGATGTTGCACTCTCTTACGCACACAGTGCAGAGAAAAACGAGTACATGCACCAAAAACGACAATATATTTGCTCGTCTCTTCAAAACACGGCAACCGTCCTATTAATAAAATGTATGAAATATGAGCATAAATAACAAAAAGCAACCGAATGGACCTGAACATACGACGAACAACAATAACAAAAAAAAACGAGAAGAGTTAGAGCCAGAAAACGAGACACCGAAAGCGCATGTATGGCAATATCGGCAAATTAGTTTACCATATACGTATTTATTACGGGCACTCGACACTAGACAGCTAGAATGTTTGCAGAGAATGAATGCACACACAATATCGCCAACTGCTGCTAAACAACTCAGCAAGCGAAAAAGAGAGATAGAGAAGACAATAACAGCAAGCAAAAAAAAAAAACAACAACAAACACACATTAAGTTGACCGCTTTCCGATGCACCATGCACACTTTCGTAGGAAATCGGCTAATTTTAATTTGGCTCATGAACGAACCGAATCCAGACGCAATGTGCATGTGTACTTTTTTTGGTTTGAACGCTTCTTCGGATCGCATAGAGAAAATGCCATAATACTTTCGATGGTTACAACCAAAATGTATCCCAAAATAAGCGTTATCGTTTTTGAAAGTCAAGACACATCGTTTGATGCGCTGTTATAGAGGTCCTTCTGTATTTTGCTACATATCGTGTGGCGAAAAAAAAGGAATAGCAAAGTGAGCATAAGAGAAACCGAATGACTGGAACCGAAATATGCTACGATTATCATCATCATCGTCGTCGTCGTCGTCGTTGTCGGGAGCAAGAGAAGCGCACAAAAAAACACACAGAGAATAAAACCGAAGCCATTTGAATTGATGGTGCTCGGTGCTTTTCTGTTAGTGCTGTAAATGTCTAGTAAATGCATGGTTAATTTTTTTCTCGTCTTTTCATTCGGGGCAAATTCCAAGAAATACGGTCGCGAAATAATTTCCAAAACTCAACCATGCGATGAACAGAACCGAAAATAACAACATACACACATGAAATATTACACATGCAGCCCAAAAACTAATGCACAAGACAACGAACATCATGTGAAGCCGCACGTATTCGCCGCTCTATGGCACACAGTGCATAACATTTGATATAAGCTAACAAAATTGTTATATACACAATGTGCTCGATTAAACGTTAACCATAGAAAACGGTTTTGTGCAGTGAGAAACGCGAACATAAAAATAAAAATCGCACAGGATTTCAGCGTATTTTGGGTGTTTTTCCATTTCTTCTTCTTCTTTAGCACATTAAACATTTGGAGCGACGCAAAACTAACATAAAAACTAAATTAACTTCATATATCTATAGTTAGTTTAACATATCTATAGCGCTGGGTATAGAACACTGGGTTTGAAGCTTCTGCAAATTGCCCGTATGCAATTTTGGGGGTTTAAAGAATTGAAGATGTGAAAAACCAAATTAACTATTGTCTTGGATTTCAAAAAAGTCTTGAATTAAAAGAAAGTCTTGTATCAAAACTCTTCATCCTTAGCAACAATTTACGCTTGGAACCATCGCATATTGAAAATATGCTCACGATATAGCAAACGCGCAAAATAGTGATAATGATATTTTAATTATCCAATTTATTAAACCTGACAAGTAATTAGTCTACTGAAAATTATATCCGCTGTGAATTTTTCGTTTGCTGGAAAATGGCAATAAAATTAATCTGTCGATTTAGTGGATACTGGAAATAAAAAAATCGCAAGTGGTTTTGATTTGGTGTGCGAATTACAGGCGCGGATATAAAATGTGCAACTCAGCGAATATTAAGTGCTGAAATTAGCTTGACTCATTTTAATCGTCGAAAACATTCCAGAAAATTCGCAATGCGATTTCTCGTTGCGTAGCACAAACACTTCAAATCCGTCCGTCGTCATCGTTGTCGCCGCCCGCAATCACCATCGCCGCTGATAAGAAAACCGACAAAATGTGCATTCAAACATACATATCGCTATGCCGAAATGCCAACATGTAAATTTCCGAATACAGTGCGGGCCTGTGCGCGTATATATCTGCTCGATGTTAATTAAAACGAGCGAAAAATTCAAGGTCACGGTCACAATTGGTATTCATTATTTGCAATATATGTACGTATATGCAGAGCCTGGGTTGGTGTGTGCGTCTTTATTTTTTATACACATCGTGTGTTTCTTATTTATTTTTAATGCGTGTTTTCTTCCTTTTTGCTGCTCTTTTCGTTGAAATTGGCCTGGGCGCGGACGCGCACTTTCTGAACCGCCGCACAAGACAAGAACAATATGTATAAATTGTATGGGAATTTATACGTACATTTTTCGTCCATTACATTACGAATTAAAGAAAAAAGAAACCACAAAATTTACTCCTCTCTGTTTGTTTTTCATTTCTTTATTTGAATATACATTTTTGGCAAATGAATCCCAAGTACTTGGTCTTTTTTTTATTTTCTCGTTCAGCTTTGCTTTTGTAAACACGAGTATTGAATTAAATGTCGAGAGCAATAAACCGCACATTTTAAGATGTGCGATTAATCGCACACAGCACATGATTCGGGTACACGATGTGATTAAAACCGTCTTTTTTGGTGTCTCTACTCTTTTCCCTTCCGTTCGACCGCGTACGCTGCTGCTGCTGCTGCTGATCGAACGAGTGAAAGAGTGCGAACAAAGGAGTAAAATGTAAGAAAAAAATGCGCTGGAAAGACGCCACAAGATAGCACACAAGCGAACAGCTCATGTTTAAATAATTCGGCGATTAATTTATTTTCCCACTTTGAATTCTTCTTCTGCACACATACACACACACACACACACACACACACACTCATAAACGACCGACCGATCCTCTCTGTCCCTCTCGCATGTGGTTCAATTTCGTCGATTCGACCACGGGTCGGTCACTCGGCCGCAATTTCAAATGTAAATATATTCGGCGAACGTGCTGAATTAAGTGCTTTTGCATGTGCGCCAAGTGCATCTCCGTTCTCGCAAAATACACATGTAATAAGCGGTAATAAGTGCGGAATAAGTACATTCAATAAACAATCTCGGCATTCTGTGCGCATTTTTACAAGTGACAGCCGACACTATCGTTTCGTTT